TGCTGCGAGCATTTATTTGGATCGGTGACAACTGCTGAGCGAAATGAAATAACAAAATGAAACCTGCTACAACAGGGAGTCTGTTCTATTCTGCTCTGCCAATAATGAGAATATGCTTTTCCAAATGAGTTTCCTTATCCAAAACTGATAAAATGGGGATTATTATTACGACATCAAGAAAGCAGCCAGATGAAATGAACGTAGCAGGTTGAGGGTGATCGTAGGGGGGCTAGCACTTGGGATCTGACAACAGAGTCAATTCTGCTAATTAACTGCCAATTAGCTGTCCCTAAATGAGAGGGATCATGATGCCTAAGTTGGCAGAGCCTTGATAGTCTTTTTTTTCTTCAGCACACATATACACTAATTCTTGCACACCAGAGACACACACACTCACAGCCACAACCTCATACACTCCAGCTGTATATTTATAAAGTCAGGGGCATGAGATGGCCGCTTCTGGGAGTCCCTGATTGGAGCCAAAAAAAGGCATGACATTTCCATCTGGGTCAAAGTTAGAAAGATAACCAGCAACTTCTGTCATTAGAAAGGAAAACTGGGTAACAAGCAGAAATGTAGAAAGTAAAGAGGGGTAAAGGGACCTCAAAACACTCTGTGCAAAATTCATGACTTTTAAATACTTAGAAGGAATGTGGTGAAATAAAAGGCCGGMTTCATGATTTTATGTTTCATTTGGAAAATATTAGTTATTGTTTTGCATTTCATAATCGTCTCGACTGCCAATGCAGAAAATCATAAAAAAAAATCATAAAAAAAACAAGTGTTCCTAAGTGTCTCATTGGACACAGAAAAGCGGGTGGAAAATACTTTTCTGAGTGAGGGAACAAATTTGACTGTTTTTCGCTCTGTCTCGTTCCCACACGCTGCAAACAAATGTGCTTCATCATTAAAACTTTGTGTGCGAACCTGCAGCGCAGCTTCCACGAACCTCTGTTACGAGATTTAAACTGAGGAACTCTAAAGGGATCTGAGGAGGCAGATTAGGAAGGAAAAGCAATGATCTGAATGGCGATGGGAAACCTGCTGCGGAGAGAGTTAAAGGTTCGCAAGTTTAGAGCCATCAGTTTATGKACAATTTGTGCTACTGCATGAGGCACAATCTGGGAAAAAAGCTACACAAAGAGACATGTTTAAAAAGGCAGTGATTAAAGATGTATGGTTCTAGACATTTAACTGGATGTAGAAATTTGCAATGCACATAAAAACAGGGCTTCACCGTGACTGTTGGTTAAGGTGGAGCTTCTGCTGATAAATATGTAAAATAAAGGGAGAAAGCGATCAGTACACCATGCCCTGCCCTGATAGGCTCAGAGATTGAGCCTATTTCATCTCCTCAATGGGCACAGGCTGCTTGGCGCCATCGTCTGGCGGATATCCTTCCCTTATCATGTGACCTGTGCACAGACAGGGGGCAAAGGTTGGCTGCGATCCGCCCCTATGTCTTAATAACTCACTCATTGTATTCCTTTCTGCTGCTAATTAGAGCCTCTCCCCCGTGCACGCATGTGTGTGTTTGTGTGTGTAGAGTCCGCCCTGGGCTGKAGTGAAGAGGCAGAGGAGTAAAAATAGAGTGTGGCTTAGTGCCCTCTTTATTGTTATTAGTGCACCAGTGGCACAGCAGTCAGTCATCGTAGATGCCAAGAACTGACAGGTTCGTTCTCTGGCTCGCTCTGCCATGGATATGATTGTCTGCGAGACGAGGAAATAAAAAACGGGATAGTTTCCTTCCCCCTTTTTTTTTGGAGACGCTGTTTCTCTCAGGCATATGCCAACTTCTGTGAAAACTCTTTGTGTTTTCAGTGGTAAATAACAGCAGGATAATTGGTCTGTGTGTAAGTTTATGGAAGTGAGCGCGGGCGCATCATGCTGGGTCCGACTCTGAGACGAGAAAGTGTTCGGTCAAGCTCCATTTAGCGCAGACTGATGGCAGGACACCAGGAGCTGCTGAGACAGGCAAATACATGACTGTGAACTGTAAACGCTTTAGAGTGCAGACACCTGAGTCTGTCGTTTCTCCTGCTTTACTACCCCACTATGCCGTTGGTGATATGGCCCTCACCTTTTCCAGCAACCTTAAACAAATGTAATAACATATTAGACCCCACCCCGAATCTGTTCGTGTAATGCCCATTGTCTCAAACGTGACATAAAAAAAGCCTCATACTGGGTAATGGTGTCACTTAATATCTCTGCATACAAATACCCTTTTAGATCAGTATTACCAGAATAATCAAGTCCTTCTCATCTGCTCAGCACCAGCTTAAAGAAACTGTGGACTTTAACCTCTTTCTTTGCTCTTTATTAACACCGGACAGGTAATGGGGTGTGGGCTGTTAGCTAATGATATACACTAGATACAGGAGCAGGTGGAGCGTGTCAGTGGTACTCAGACAAAAGGTTTTAAACCATGTGGGTTTTGCTTTCCGCGTGTACAGGTGAGCTGCAGGTAAAGTCAAGGCGAGGTTCTGGAGGAGGTTGAACGGGGCCAAAGGGGAGAGAGTGAGATGTACTGTCTATTGACTATCACACAGAGCACCGTTGTGCCCTCGCTGGGCTCCGATTGTGCTAGCGGACAAAGCCCTGATTCAGCACATCTTTTCCCCGAGGGAGAGCTCTGGAAACCGAAGACGGTGACCATCCCCTACCACCACCCCCCCTCCTCATCCTCTTCTACTATCTCTCCTTTCGTCTGTCTCTGTCTCTGCCACTTTTTGCCCGGTAATATTGCAGCATCAAAGGGAGTCACAGAACAATG